TTGCGCAACGTCTTGTTATGTCTGAAATTTGTGCCGGACGGAAACCGGTGGTTGTCCTCGCACAATATGAGAGGCCGTGCTCTAGTAGCTGCGAGTCTCGCTTTAAGCGCGTACTGACCTCCAATATGGTGTTCATCTGGAAGCAGTAGACCGATCCGTGCATTAATCTAACCAGGAAGTATAAGTAAATCTGACTTGTCCGATTTTCACAAAAGTAGGTTACCTTCGCGGCAGTACTCATCCTTGACAGGGTCGCTGATGCAGTCAGCTGGAGCGTAGTCATAAAGGGCAAAATTTGCCTGTTTATTTGTGATGCTGGTTGATACGAAATGCTACCTTAAGCTGAACTGCGCATAGCAGATTGTTAACTGGTAACCAGTTTAGCAACGCAGCTTCGGCTTTCTTACTTACTGCTACCCCAACACCAGCCAAATCTGCTGCAGCTGCTTTTGCGTCAGTGAATAGACGCAGTTGTTATGTGGTTCCGCGATCAGAATGGGGCGTTAGCCTGAGTACGCTGCTGGGCTCTTGCAACCTGGTTTCGGAAACGCAGCAAACTTCAACGGCGAAAGGCTCCAGGGTCCGCGCCAAGCCGGTCTGTTGACCAATATGCATAAGTGTTCATACGTTGAAGCAGGCCAATCAGATCGTCGATCGAGGTTGAACTGTGCCTGTCGAGTGAGCGTTTCGAGTGTTGGCAAATTCGGGTTTGAAGGCAGAATCAACGCAGGTGGGAATAAAACAAAAGGTTTGTTGGCATGTGATGGATGTTGGCGAACAACAAAAAGAGCAGTAGCGGGAGCATGAAGACAAGTTAAATTTTGTTTTCTCAGCGCCGATGATACTACCCGGTTGTCCAAGCCGAGGGAGCAAGTTGACTTAGGATATATTGCCCCAAGCCTTTGGCTCAAAGTTTACCCACAAGATAGCGGGGCGAAGTCAAGAGATAGCGTCCACTGAGAGCTAGTGCTCGATTGCATTGTTCATGCGCGTTTTGTGTGGCAATCACATATACTGCGGCCCAGTCTGCACACAGATTCAGACTACATCTGGGGAATTACCATGCTTTGCTGAAACAAAGCAAGGGGCGGTGAACTTATTTAGCGGCGAATTACATCGGCCAATTTACAGTGTTGTAAACGGACATTTACATCATTTTATGGAGAGAAGACTTGGCAGGCGAAGACATTTCACATTCTGGAACTACAGGCAAACTTTCCACTAGCGCAGCGTAAACCCGATCCACGAATTTGCACCACGAATACTTACTTCGGCATGCCAGCCGGGCTTGAATATACTTAGATAGGCTGCTACTATCCTTGTGCGATAAACATCACAATGCTTGTGAAGTTTCGTATGCACGTGGCGCATGAGCTGCTTCAACACACAATGGTGGTGTTCTTCAGGTGATGTTCTTTCCAGTGTCAAACCATTATGTTTTATTGTTGGAAACTTGGCCCAGATGACAGGAAAGCAATACCTTACCCGTGTGATAAAAACGCTAATTTCCGGACTGGAACCGCGAGACACTTATAGATTGCTTCGTAGTAGTCATTTAGGCCAACGCATGTGCACAAATTATCCATCGAATCAAGAAGCACCTACCGATTTCACTCACCAACGGCAGAGACTGATCTAATCTGTTTCGATTGCTAACCATATGATTGCCACTAGGCACAACATTGACGAAAGTAATGACATCGAAATCCTGGATGGAGTACCGTTACTTGACCCATCAATCAGCAGCAGCAATTCTTGCTACTAATGAAACAATAAGCATAAGCAGAATGAAGCCTAATCTTGGTATCCAAAAGAAGATCATGCAAGCATTACAACTTCCATGGCCGTCAACTTCACTAGAGGAACTTGCTGTCACCCATCAATCCCGACTGCTGCCAATCACCCGAGCATCTGACGCATATTACGAGAACTGTTAATTCTTAATTTTGTGCAATCAGTGGTGTGTCCAAATACTGTTCCATGAACCACAAGTATGTTCATGTACTAAGCATGATGAGGAAGAACTCGAAACCCTTTGGTCGCCATGAGTGTTTTGTCTAGGTTTCTTCTCGGGTTTTAACCATTTCCGCCTAACCACTAAATGACCCTAGAGTTATTGTAGTCAACTCCAATTTAGCGTGAGTTTAAGCCGTACAAAACAATTGCACGCAATATATCATCATCATCATCATCATACACGTTAGCTAGATGTGGGGAACACCTCAGCTACTGTGCCGCAATACATAGAAAAAAGGAGAAAAAAAGGATTCAACCGGGCTGAGCTACCGGTAACGGATGGGCATCGATCCGGTAAGCTACTAGCCGGCTACTATGCATCAAAAAAACTACTATGCAAAATTATATAAGGTTAAACAATGAGATCGTGGTTGGAGGGGATGGGGTGGGACAATAAAACTCACAGCACGAACGCCACTGAGGTCGGCTCCTAGCCATGTCAGCAAGTGTATCCAACCAAATGTGTTCATCGTCTTTGACTTATGGATGCTTGCCGGCATATTCCGGCTGGAAGCGAACACATTGAAACTCGCAAAGAGCTCCGGGCAAAACTCCGTGCTAGCCTGAAGAGAGACCGCGAATCGTGGTGTCTCATCGTGCATCAGAGATGGAAATGGCCGCTGTCCTTGGTAACCATCGTAAGTTATTCCGTCTGATACGAGAAACGGGCAGCAGGAGACCTGGAGTTAGTGAAACTATACGTGACGAGAGTGGACAGCCTATCCACAACTTATCAAAACACTTAGAGCGTGGGGCTGAGCACTTTGAAAGGCAATTTAATCGGTCGGAATTGTTAAAATTCTCGCCGGCCACTGATCGCCCTACTCCGTGGGCTGTCCCTTTGGATCCACTGTCTTGCTCAGAAGTCGACAGTAAGATCGGACTGTTAAATTAAATAAAGCCGCGGGACCAGATGATCTTCTTCCAGCCCTCTTTAAATTCGGGGGACCTGCTCTTATGGGTGATTTACACGAGTTACTAGTCAAACTGTGGGAGCAGGAAACTGTCCCAACCGATTGGAGCCGCTCCGTCATAGTCCCAATTTTCAAAGGAGGCTCACGATCGGAATGCTGCAGCCATAGAGGAATCAGCCTCATGTCCATCGCCTCCAAATTGCTTGCCTCTGTCATCCTTCACAGACTGACTGACACTCGTGAAAGCCAGATTCGTGAAGAGCAAGCTGGATTTCGGCGAGGTCGTGGCTGCATTGACCACATTTTTACCTTGCGTAAGTTGTTGGAGCACCGTCACATATATTGGCGGCCCATCGTTGTCGTGTTCCTCGATATCAAAGATGCATTCGACTCGGTGGATAGGCATGCACTTTGGGACTGTCCATTCAGGAAAGGTGTGCCCGAGAAATATGTGAATATTATCCGAGCATTATATGCTCGTAGCTCGGGCAGAGTGAGGGATGTCGTCGCCCTTTAATATCTCCAGCGGCATGAGACAAGGATGCCCGCTGTCACCTTTCCTCTTTAATTCGCTGTTGACGAAGTCATGGAAATCGCGTTTACAGGACACGACTTAGAAGGTGTGGATTTACTCCCAGGAGAACAACTTCTTGACTTAGAGTATGCTGATGATATTGCCCCGATCTGTGACAGCTCACAAATGTGCCAAGCGGCACTGGACAGATTAGCACTAACTGTAAGTCACTTCGGGCTTTGCTTCGCACCATCGAAGTGCAAAGCGTTCCTCCAAGATCGGTCTGGACCACCTCCTTTGCTGACCCTTGGTGGGGATCAGCTAGAAGTCGTTCAAAAATTCAACTACCAGGAAAGTTGTATCAGCGCCCGTGGGATGGAAGATGAGATCACGAAACGTATAGCAAAAGCTCGGGGCGCTTTTGCTAGCCTTCGCCACTTATGGCGCCGGCGCGACATCACTCTTGCCATGAAGGGTAGAGTGCACAATGCAGCAGTACGTTCGACCCTACTGTACGGCTGTGAAACATGGCTGCGTGTCTGACGAGCGTGTCCGACGCCTTGTTTATGGCACAGGAAAAGGAACTGAACCGCTCAGCACCGTCCTTTCACGCACCAGGCTCCGATGGCTCGGCCACGTGTTACGCATGCCAGCCCACCGACTCCCGCGACGTGCGTTGTTTGCGCGCCGGCGGTGTGGATGGAAGAAGAGGAGGGGTGGTCAAGCGAAGACTTGGTCGAGAGAAATGAAGGCCCTCACTTTTGAGCTGGCCTCGGTTGGAGCGTCTCGGCTCCCTGGTTGGGGTCCGGAAGACGACGAACACGTTTGGTTGGACACACTTGCTGACATGGCTAGGAGCCGACCTCAGTGGCGTTCGTGCTGTGAGTTTCTTTGTCCCACCCCATTCCTCTTAGCCTCCCCCTCCAACCACGATCTCATTGTTTAACCTTATATAATTTTGCATAGCAATTTTTTTGATGCATAGTAGCCGGACTGGACGATAAGGCAGGATGAATCCCAAGTCTTTTGCAATGATCTTCGTAATGTGTGGATAACCCTAGTGACCACACGCCATGCCTCCTTGATCCTCTATGACTCGCGCCGGGTGATAGGACAGCATACAAGTAAGCCGTACTCTATCATTGGTCGTATTAATGTGATGGAGAAAATATCGGAAATCTTTTCGGACCAAAGCAAAACTCCGTTCTACCGCCCAAGGCATATGACCTCCATGTTTGCAGTGCCTATTCGTACTGTGAATGCACTTTAGGACACTACTTGACAGTAAAGTGAGAACTCTCACAAAAGGGACGAGATGGTGAAACAGAGAGGAATGAGCAAATCTAATTGAGTGTATACAATCAAGAGCGCCAAACACTTACTTCTATCATCTGCGTATAATGCATGACGTAGGATAACTATGGACAGAATTAACACAGCTAACCAAATATGCATGACATGAATGTTTGTTTGAACAGTTGTGACATTACCTCGCAAAGTCATCATTTTAGTTATGTGCGGTCACCAAATCTGATTTCTCCTTATTCCCTCTCAAGGAGCAGGATGATCTGCGGTCACTAGACAATGATAGCTTTTTGCACAAACTGGAAAGCGCAGTGTACCCAGGTCTACTGAACAATACGTCATCCCAGGAGTCGCAACGTGCTGTCACATTTGCTGGCATAGAATCTTCATCCGACTTAATCGTGGCTGACTCTTACACTCAGTCAGATTTCCGCAGTTTGGCCAATGCCGATTTGAGCTTGGGTGCCGCGAGGTCGGATGTGCATAGACAACGTCGGGTAGAGCATGATCGCAACGGTGCCTTCATATCTCTGTTTCCACCAGTCAAACATATTCGTTTTCCGGCACCGGGGCCCCCAGTGACCGGTTGGGCCCACTTATTCTCCAACCTGAAGGACACCACCGTGCAGTCGACCGTTGTTCCTGAAGAACCACCGCAAACTATCGACGTATTTCACAGTAGCAAACAGAGGGACTCTTCATCTCATGATGACACTAAATTGACATCGGTAACGGCAACAATATTTCATCCCATTCCGTACACTGAACCGTTCCGATGGCAATTCGGTCAACAAGATCCAGCCACTACGTTTCCATCATCAGTTTTGGTTCCTCGACGCCAATCACAAAATGGACCGAAAACAAGACAGATGTCAGGCCCAAGTAGCGTGGGAGCCAAAGAATTACCTCATATCAACGAACGTGAGTTATCTACTTGTCTTGATTATTCGTCGATCTCGTCTACCTTTGTCCAGTTGCTGTGCATCATAACATGTGGGTTTTGTGTGAAACAGGTTTGCTAACACTCGAAAGCGTGCTGGTTGTCGGATGAGCAACTTTGGATTTTGAGGTTTCACCATAATGCAACGGTTTGCTTGCTGGTTGATTTGTAACTTGTCAATTCCATGAAACGCACTTCCACAACTTCCACCTAAATTACACACCGATGCTATCCACATTCGAAAACATTTTAAAATTTTCAAAATTACCATGCACAACTTCCGCAGTTTTCTTTCTAGCCATTTCTCTAGTCTACCTCAATGATGTCGCAAGTACGCCTTCGCACATGTCGAATGATAAATAGGAGTATATCCATAGTGACTAGGTATATAACACAATCGCACCAAATATATGCCCATACAACACTTCCGAACATTGTTTTCAGCTATAAAACTTAGAATGTCTGAGCGCATTGATTGATTTCCTATTTGTTTGTTGTGGTCTACGGGGCAATCCATGTGTACAGCATGCACTATTGGCAAACTCCCGGTCACCGTAATTTGTACAGCAGAAAATCAGCAGCAGAAACTGCCCACACGATAAAAGTAAGTTTTGCCTATATGGACCTACTCGTATATTCGGCTTTGAAGGTGTCTATGGTTTTACTGTCGTCCATAGACAAAAGCACGTAGGATGTTATGTTTATAAACCGATTTCCAATACCGCTCTATTGCTACTTAGCCAGATCAGCTAAGAGCAACCAAAAACAAATCATATTTACCACAGGATACACTGCTGAAACAAGAACGACGATAACTTAAAAGCAACGGAAACGGAAACTCCAAGACGACACCCGGCCCTTAAACCAAATAAAGGCATCTCCGCAGCATATATAAGTATGCATTTATTAACAAACAGTAGCAATGTGATGAATGGACTGTCCATGCGACTTCGGAGGACCAATAGTGTTTCTACTTGCCGACACCCTTTTATAAATTTTGAAATCGATGCATAGTTAGGATTCATATTGGAAGTATAATAATTAACCTGGATAACTTCACCAGCAACCTGCCCATGGCAAAAGGCCGTTCAGCGTGGAGAGACGGACATGGTAGAGCTCACCTATCGAATACAATCCCAGTGTAATTGCTCAGGCGATCAGGACGTGATGAAACGTTTCGCTTATTCCCCGACAACAACGAAAGGATACATGCAGGGTCTAGGTTTTATGCATCCTAATGCACCTACCACCGTCATGTTTGCTCCCGTGTTTCAGCTGCTTTATATGTTAGAGTTGAGTTAAATTAAATTTAAGTTAAATTAAATTTATGTAATTTTATTTCAATTTAATTTAAACAGTAAGTATATGCTTTATTCCTTGTCATCCCAATCGTCTTTATTTTTGATTTGATATGCGATTTTCTAGATCCACTTGTGATGAAGTTTCTGTAAAGTATGCAATAACTAATCATGCCGATATGGGCGTGTAACTCAGCTTTGACAGTAAAAATTTATTTTTTTTATTAATGTCATGAAAGCTAGCATCTATGAGTACAGACTATGTCGAATCGCATAAGAACACGCAGACTGTTCTACCACTCCTAAAATCTTTTCGTCCTTACACCTATTTATTTCGACCGCTTGAGTCTATCGGAGCTGACTCCGAATCACGTTTTTCAAACTATTTTGGAAAAAGTAACGCATCGCAGTAAAAGGTAAACATAAGTAGCTAAACAAATAAATCCTTGGGTTTCGTCAGCATTTTTAAGACATTCTTCGCAGAAATTGGAAAGAAGTTGTAAAAAGTGACATTGTAATCTAAGCAAAAGTAAGATGTGTAAACACATCTATCTAAAAAGCCGATTTTGATTCATGTATACATTTAGAATAATAATAGCATTTTATGGATTTTGATTTGTGAAAATTCAGAGGCCCCACGCATCCGAATTCCATGGTTGGATGTACCGAAGGTGCTACGCGTAATGCAGTTGGAAAAGCACTGCACCGACTGATCTAGACTTGCAATAGCTGTACAACAATAAAAACACCGGTTTATTGGGAGAATAAAATCGTCGTTTGCTATGTAAATTGATAGATGCTCAACTGGCCACATAAAATGCAACATGTCGGTTCCCGCATTCTTGCGATCTAGCGGTAAGAACAGCTTAAGAGTTCATTCCTGAAACTAGTAAAGAAATGCAGTTAGTTGCAATGCCATAGAAGTTTCTTTGTCCTATCATGTAATCTCCAATTAGCGTGGTTGTTTTGTATCTGATGCGATTAGAAGGAACACGCTAATAATACAAAGAGGTGTATAAACGATTGTGTGGTTCGTATTAAATAAATCTCATAACTGAACACAAGAAGCACAATATAACGTCTGACTTAACGATGGTTTGCTGAGTGACATGTTTTTAGACAAATTCTGTGTTTCGGTGCACGGTTGTACCACATATAAAACCTTGATAGTGTTGTTTGCTAAATCAACGAGTGTACACGTGAGTACGAGCAAGCGCGTGTGTGAAGAGTGTGTTAATTTTAAAGTTACACTTTGTTTCTGAACTTTAAGCGATCGTCGTGGAATTGTGAATTGATATCAGTTTGTGTGGCTAAAGCCGATATTCCACTGATCGATTGCATTTCTAAGTGTGGGCATTGGCAATTATGGCTAGGTTTCTGCGCTACCACGGAAATCATTTCTTAAAACCATCGTCGTCACGTCGATATTTGTCATAACTTTGAAGGGACTGGGTGCTATAATTTGCTTCCTTTCAAGGCAAAGATCATTCAGCTGTGGCAGGGTTAATCATTATACATTAATTCTCAGGTTTACTGGAATTGTATTGGCTTAATTTCCTCTTCAAAATTAGTAGCTGCAACGTGTACATGCACCATCGCACTCCGCATTATACAGAAGTACCCAATCAGCTTTCAGGAATAGCATTGATTTTTTGTTTACTAGGTGGTTTGTGAGTATCTGGCAAAAAGGGGGCGTTTTTCGATTAAGTACTCGGTCCTACGCTGCTCATTGTTTAAAAAATCCAGTATTTTATTTTGATGAATGAAACCTACATTAACACACGATATTGATGTTGGCTATAAAATAGACCGAAAGCAATACAAACATTTAATATATACACAGTGATGTACTACTTATTCGCTGCCAGAAAACTTAATATCTGTTTCGCTTTGTTGTGTTTATAAAAAAGCTACCATATCCCTCAATGTAAGACGTATGTCATAAGCCGTTTCACACCCATTCATTATTGCCCTTTGTACATTTAAAGACAGCGAGTGCTCTTTTATTGATATTTAGATTCCAGCCCGAGTGCATCTAAGCCCACTTTAGCCAGCATCGTCAAATCGCTGCAAACGCGACCGCTGTCACCCACTACATTTGACGCTCATGTGGACAGTGGTTATCATGACTCCATACTAGAGACCTCGTTAAACCTGTCGGCGCAGAGTTTGAACTCTTCTCTACCACCAGTGAATACACTATTATCTCAGCCTAGGTTCTCTGATGTGGTAATATCTCAAGGGTACCTGTTAACACCCAGCCATCCTTTAGAAGGCGTATGCGCTACACCAATTCAAACGGTCGACTCAACCTATGTGCAAGACTTCAGTAACCTTGAGGACACAGACTATATGGCGCAAGACAATCTGGACTTGGGCACATCGTGCAGTTCAAATGGAACCGGCCAGGATTCTGGGGATAGCGCCACGGTTATGCTACCCAATCATCTAGGTGAGTTTTCCTTACTCCACATGAATATTAAAAAATTGAGACTGAGAAACCGGTGAAGCATACACATTGCCCTATATTTTGCCACTAATATATGGTGCCATATATTTAGGCTAATGTATCGTCAAAGCTAATTTCCAAAAATCTGTGTCCGGATGAAATCACTCACATACGCACTCATCCTGTTATTGCCATTTATTCAGCTGCTGTTCTCAAGTTGAATACTATCACGACGCATTTGTTTATTGTCGTAAGGTTTGGAAAGTCCTGCTAGTTTTAGATCGTCGGTATTAACATCTTGTAACATAAACTCCCACGGAATCGTTGTATCCACTGTTCTATTTCAAACTTCGTTCACATTGTGTGAGGTGGTTTTGAATGATTGCGTCGATAACCGCTACTGTAACCTGTCACTTTAAAAACTTTATTCTACGCTAGAGCCTATGCTTTCGCCTGTTGTCCATAAATGCACAATGATCTTCTCATGATCAAACTATTTACATGACTGGTCAGGGAATGTTGTGAGCTCGAAATGTAAACATAGCTTTATGTATGTATAATAATCTAATATGGGTTTGACAGTTTTCGGTTCTTGTATGAGACTGATTTCGCAGTCGTTCCTCAACAAAACTGGCTACATTTTTGTTGCAAATTTGGACAAGCCGTTGCTCTGGTGAATAGCAGTACATGGATTCTTATCATCTATTGGCGACTAATGTAAAAAATTTTATTTGCTGAGCGAGTGCAAGCTTTAGTCGCTTTTTATTTATCACTGTTTATTTTCTTCATCTTGCTGCAGCTGTTTTTCATTAGAGCTACACGTGCATGTCGCAAGTAATGGAGTTCCTTTAACTCTGTCAAACGTTGTTAGTGAATTATACCTTCTGCGTACGATAACCCACCCAACAAATTGTGCACCACAACTAGATTCACTAATCTAACTAATGTGTTTGATGTGCCCCTTAACAAACATATACTTAGATCGTGTTTGCAATCGTGTTTGAGCTGAGTTGACATCTTGCTACTCTGTTGATCTCTCTCTCTTCAGACATCAATGGTCGGAGTTCTTCGAAGTATCTACGACCAGGATTTCCATTGCGCTCATCGAACAGTTCACCTACAATTGGTTTCTCAAAGCTGTAACCAGGGGTGGATGCACCATGCAGCATGCCACTGTCAAATAATTGCCAATAGTGCCGTTCTGTTTGAATCGTCGTACCAATTGCGCCATTGTGATGCAGCTTCAGACATTCTTTCCTCGTATCGTCAAGCCTAGGATTATCACCTGTACCGTTTCGCTTTTCCTCTTCTATCAGCTTATTTTTCATCGAGGTGATTTTATTAATGAGATGGCGGCTGTACACTATTTTTAGAAAGTTACACAATTGTTAATTTACTTAATGCGACCCTAGGCTGTGATGTGTGCACTTTCCATTCTACTGTTTACATCTTATTTACCTTTTACATTTTCACATTAAAAGCTTAGCAATTCACGTGTATATCTTTTCGCCTGTCTACCTTTCTAACCACTAGGCAACCTAGGCATACTTCTGAAAACACTTTGGTCTGCCTTCATTGTTATCCGTCTATTTGCCTTTAGCGATTTCCCGAGGTCTGTACCCAACCCACAATCTATTCTTCTATTCCCAATGTTTCGATCTGATCCCTATTTGTTGTAATCCATGACGAACTAGCAAGGATGAAACGCTCAGTTTGCCAAGAAATATTTTTATACACATTTGTTGGCAACATCTAACTTTTTCGCCTTCTCACGTCTCTTTGACTCGTTCCTCTTTCAAACTTTTATTAGATGCCAGCACATGTTTTGCACTTATGCACACGTAGTGCACATTTTTCTGAAGCATTTGTAATTGCAATCGTCTTTTTATGTTTGCAGTTAAGCTACTACATGCATGCATATAGTTGATATTGATAAATGAAGTCGTTTTCCTTCTTTTACGCTACGCTTCATTAAAATCAAAAGGTGTTTATGCACCAGTAACTTCATTGTGATCTAAGCAGTTATGTTTAGAAGACAGTACCACTGGTAGCTTAACACGTTACTGTTATTCGTGAAAAAGTATGTTATTGATGAAGCTCCGATGTGCGTGGTATGTTATGACCCTGACTGGTCGCACAGTAAACCTGCTCAACGTTGTCACAGAGTTGCATGTCTTCTTTTTCACCTAACGCCATCATCCTTCACTCTTTCTAATAGGAATAGCCCTCCGTGTTCCGTGTGCATATTATTACGGAACTATTTCCAACAGCAAATGTTTTGTGTTAAATATGTGTCTTTAGCGCGCTTCGTGCTTCAATCCAGACGCGCTCTGTCAATGTGGTCGATCAATGGTTCTCCGCCATATCTGGTGGTCCTAGAATTACATCCATAAGATCATTTCTAACGAAGCTACGACTCGAGCTTTTCCTGTCATCCACCCAATACGAATTAATTCCAACGGCTTTGCCCTGCAGGAACCAGCGTGGTTCATTAAGCTAGACGAACGCCGCGTACGTGTGTTCTCGTCGTGCACACTCACCTACAGTAAACGTCCTCGACAGTGCGACTGGGAAAAGTACGAGAGCGTCACTCGACCTTTACCACACGTGACCAGACGAGGGCAGCGTTCTTTCTCAACAGCGTCCCCCAACGCAAATGGTTCCATCTAACCGCAACTGTGGTTAAATATAGAAGGCGGACGGCCAATAGTGGACAGCACTTCATTGGAACATGCAACTTAAGTACAATATTTGCCTCCATAATCCTGCATAGATGTAGACAATATAGCGTTAACGACACCTGCCTGGTCAGGGCGACACAAAAGAGAACATGTCGATCTGGGATGCACTATGCTAAAATTCAGTCTGCGTATAATTCAAAAACCAATGACCTACGTAAAATGCGGGTAGGAACCGACCGACAAACGGTCGGCTTAAAACTAAACACAAATTTATTTTCCACCAACGCGCTTTTAACAAAAACACTAACATGGTTGTAAACTAATTCCCATGGTCATCTTAGTAAGTTAGGCGAATTTAGAGAACTTCAGGTGCCACGATCGCGAGATCTCATTGCGAATACGGAAACCTGAGGTAACCCACAAAATGGGTGTGTGCAGTATATCCGCGTGAAATGTCAGCAGAATTAGTTTTCTCTTCTCTCTCTCGTATCTCCACTCTTCCGCAAGAGGATAGCACCAGAGCAACATGGCTTCCGACAAAACCGCTTATGTACAACAAACCTGTTAATTGCATTCAATATTTGATTGGTGCTAGGGCCCCGCCTACTTTTGATTTTCATAAACGATCCATCGAAGGAAATTACTTCCGATTTCCTATTCTTCGTGGATGAAATCGTTATGGCGAGCGATTAAAGCAACGAATGACCACGAATAGTTCCAGCGTGACCGCAACACGATTTCACGCCTGTCAGTTCAGAATGCATTCCCGTGCAATATGGAACCATGTCGCGCAGTTCAGTTGCGCCATAGGAATGACTACGTGAAAGTGCTTGCGTCATATGTATTGCAAACAACTTAATAAGAACGCGACCTCCGTGTGCTCATTCAAAGTGAACTTAACTGTTGAAAACAGTGAGGGGCAGCTGCGAAGAGAGCCAACCAGCACGTCGGCTTGCTGTGGAGAGCATTTGAAGTGTCGATGCATCCACCTTCCCCATGATGCACAATTCCTTAGTGCACCCTCAGGTTGAAAACCCAGTGGAACCTTATCAACATTAGTTGGAGCGCGACTTTGAAGTGCTAGAGAAACCACAACGCAGGTAGGCAAGGAACGCCAAAGTTCTACTACGTCTGACTTACCATCAAAGGCTGAAGTCACTAGGCGTTTTCAGTGGCCGCTACCGATGGCTGCGCGGCCATCTCATATTAGTCTACGAAATATTGAGCGACCCTACTCACGCATGCTGTCACTTGCTAAAAGTCATCCATAGAACCAATTTCGTAGATAACCCTCTGCTATTTTGTTCAATGTATAGCCGCATGAAATGCCAGCAAAATTAGTTTTCCATTCGTGTTTCTCAAATCTGCAACTCTTCCAAACTCTTTTGTTAACTCCACCACCTTGGAAATTTTGCAGCAAATCGTTTGAATTTACTCATGGCTACTATCACTTCGCTGCCTAATATGTATTACTTTAGAAGAGATAAAGTATCCAAATTTTAAGTACACCTGAGTTGGGGGTACAGAATTGAGTGTTCGTGTTTTTAGTTTTCTCACGGAGTACACCAACTTTCCCTACCCACATTTTGCCTCGTCATTCACATTCAACTCTCACTTACACTACTATTATTCAGCAGCGCATCCGCTCAAAAATGCTTACAGATAACTCACCTATCTATTGCTATTGTAGTTTTACTCCTACTCTTCGGCGCAACTTGTTAAGCAATTACTATTCCACTTGTCATAAATCACTTTTCATTGCTTAATATCAATTATCCGGCGATCACAAGCAACATTACAACATACTGATGTACAATTAACTCAATGTACTGAAAGCGGCTAATGAAGGGATTGCAAGGCATGTTTTCATAACAATTTAGTTAATTTAGTGGTCAGGGTTTCCGACTTACGCTAAAGCTAATGGATAATGTAATCTATGGTTCCACGTTTTCTATTATGGCATGACACTCGTAGCAACAGTTGTCAAAAGGCAGTACTTTACAACTAATATAAATAAAATATCTTGGCGTACTAGTCGCTTTATCTGTGTCGTTACTCCAAGGGTTAGAAGAAAGGGAGAGCTAGCCTGGCGACATTACGCCAGACATGTTTCCAACTGCAGGAAAACCAAAACTGGCTGCGTAAACTCAAAAACTAGTGTGTATATCACTACTAAGGTGCATAAATAACAGTGATCTCACCAAATCGGAACCTTCCTTAGGAATGATTACTAAACAGCGCACATGTCAGACCGCATAAAATTTATTATCTTAATCTTGGCGGGATGCCTTATAATACACCACTAAAGATGCGGAATAGCAAACACCCCAGTTCCATTGAAATAGGCAATTCTCTAGAAAAAGCTTAACATAACGTTTATCCTAACCGCGTCGTTACAACGATAAATAAGGAGTGTATGTCCAAGAGCGACGAATGATGCAGCTACACAGAGAAAGCTCTACTCGCTGCTTCGACCCAGTATTCAGTATTTACTACTAAGGGTTCTTGACCACTACACCGTCAATTCTATTAGCTTTCCCTTTGAATTTGTGAAGCAATAATTGACAGAAGCATATAAAGTTATGGCTTGTCCTCAACCTATTAGCATGTCCTACGGGGACCCGTTGAAAGCCTTGATGTTAACACATGCTTTTAATGCAGTCCTTGTCGACCTGTGTTTACCGTTGATTTGGTAGCTTGCTTTTGTCCCTGGAAACTAGCTACACGACTGAATGCACGAACGAAGCAATTTCAACCAATTATGTATATCTCATGAAACTATCGTTGCATTTCACTTTCCATGTTGTCCGCATCATAACGCGATCAGTTTGAAGAGATACTAATCTATGCCCGGCAAGTTTTCGTAAACGCTGAGATCACATATTTATCATACTACTGCATCACTACGCCCGCCTTTATAACTGTCATTGTTTAAAGGAGTTAATCCTCGCATCGTTGTCAACTTATTGAATGCCACATTAGTTTGACCCGGTGTAACTGGTTGTTTGGAATTGTCAACCCCATTTATTATAGTCAATTGTTCTCGCACATGCACATAAACAATACCATGCACCAGGTATACACCAGATTTTTAAGCTGGCGTCTATGCAGAGTTTGAAAAACAGATTCTAAGACGTTGGTAAACGTTGTGTTGGGGTAAAATAAACCACTCGTCATATAAGGAGGAGTGACGTGAAATCTGGGCCAACGTGCATCGCTTTTGCCGATGAAGCTAGTCCCGGTCTGGGAATCTTCCGCCCACGCAAGCCCAGACGGTTCACGGTCAATATTACTTTAGATATGGGTCTGGCAGACCGAAAAATTAAGAGCTAATGTCAAGTTATTGAAGCGGGGTACCAACGGTGAGCAAACAAATCACCACATTGTGAATTTCGTGATTACTCGTCTTCGTGTATTCTGGATTGAGAAGTTTTTGAAGTTTCACAAGCCCCTAGCGGTTCCTACGACTGTCTGCACCAATATTCACAACCTTTGCGGTTCTAATAATATACTTGACGTGGTGTGTCATTCCGTCGCCTCTGGGTAGCCACAAGTAGTTGGGTTTGGTTAGACAAATTTGAATTTGTGGTAACAAGCTTGTAAGCTCAACTGATTGGCTTACTCTTGCTTCCGCTGGGGCAGACTAGCAAAAGACGTGGCGTGAGACTCGTAAACATCTACCGATCCAACCGCCACATATTTGAGCTACTGTGATGTTAGATCGACTTTAAACTTACTGCGCACTTCCTTCCTGTGTTCCATCACACTTTGCAAAGTTGTGGTTTAGGCTGGTTGCCGTATGTCGCGACCATATGAGCCGTCCCAGCGTCATACGCTTTTGTTATTTAACTTCGAATACACAAGCTCGAGGTTCAACTGATTCTAGCGCAATGTCAACTTGTAACCGTGTTCGCGCAAAAGAGATTTTAGACTTCGACTGTACATCACATCTACAGGACGAAGTGCATTGCACCGCACTCAACCCAGTCATACTTGGACTTGATTTTGACTAATCGCGAACAGGGTGAAGATGACATTCAGTTCCTGCAGCTGCTGGTAACGAGTCGATGTTAACTGGCAGCCTTCGGCTGCCCTTGACGTAAGTAAGTCTGCCGGAGACAGCTTGCAACTACTGGGATACTCATCGGTTGTCTTACTGGAAGCACTTGCTAAATAGACTAGACGCTATTGTAGTGTGTACTCGTTGAAGCCTGCTAGTCTATGATCAAATAGGGTATACAATGGTATGTGCT